CTCACTTTATAGCCCAGGCTGGTCTCAAACTCCAAACGATCCTCCTGCCTCAACCTCCCAAGTGCTGGGATTACAGGCACGCGCCACCACACCCGGCCTATGTACACTCACTCGCTTTTTAAAATCAATAAAAATGCACCTGCCTATGCAGACCTCGGGTGCCGTGTGCTCAGGACTCGTGTGGGTGGTGTGAAGCTCCTCGAGATAATCTAATCTTGGCTTGATTAGAATCTCCAGGCAGGATCGGCTGGGAGCAAATAAACATTTGAGTAAACATAGACAGGGCGCTTGGATGGCAGCCACCAGCTTGCCTCCACCCTGTCCCGAGGCCGTGCGGGTGCCTGGCTCTGAGAATGGACGGCTGGCACTCCGTTTGTGTAGGGAAACTGAGGCACAAGGCTCTGTGCCCCGGCCACCACCAGCCCCTCCTCTGCCGTCTCTCCTCATGACCCAGCGATGTTGCTGTCCTCGTGGGAGACACTCCAGACCCCTAAATTAGAAATGGGGAGCAGAGTGACCGTGTTATTTGTGCAGTGAGGGAGCTCTGCCAAGAAGGAGAGGACAGTGGCACACGCACCTACTGTGCACACGTGCCAGGCCCCTGCCGGGGGTGGTTCTAATCAGCACAAATTTATGTTATCCCATTTCACAGATCCGTAAACTGATCCTGAGCAGTGCCCACTGCCCGCCTCCAAGGCTAAGGGGCCTTTCTGGCTTTAAACTGCCTTTGTTGGAAGACCTTCCTGACAAGCCTCATCCAAGGCCCAGGCGCGGGGTCTGGGCATTGGACAAAGGGAGGGGACAAGCAGTGTCTGCAGAGAGGCCTCCCAGGGCAACTGGCCTGGGATGTCAGGGGAACTGAGGGCCAAGCCTTGGTGTCAACCTGCGACCTTAGGACAGGACATTTCCCCCTGGGCTCTTAGTTTCTTTTTTGTAAAACAGGAGGACCCCACCCCTGTCTTCGCAGTCCCCAAGGGTGTCCCCAGAGAGTCTGGGGCCTGGTCATTCAAGCACGGAGACAGCCTCAGGCAGGCCCCACAGGTGTAAATGCCTACTAAACTCGAGGTAACTGCTGGAAAGCGTGCGTGTGGACGTGGACTGTGAACCAAGAGGGGTCAGGTTTGTTTTTGTGTTTTGGCTTTTTGAGACAGGATCTTGCTGTGTAGCCCAGGCTGGCCTCAGACTCTCACTGATCCTCCTGCCTCAGCCTCCTGAGTGCTGGGACTACAGTTGTGTGCCAGCACACCCAGCTAGGTATTTTTGATTAACACATCATAGGGAAACGATGATAACAAGTGCGATTTTCTCGGGACATGGATTATTTTAAACACAGAATCCACATGGGCAGACATTACACATGAGGCTCTTCACAGCAACAACACGGGGACCCCAGGGACACACGAAGACCTGCCCTCTGGGAATGCGGTCACACATCCAGCAGCCAGCTGCGGACACCTGGACGACTCACGGGGGACAGAGAGAAGGAGACACGAAGCCAGACCCCGACTTAGAGCAGGCCTGGCCAGCGTCAGGGTGACCGTGCACAGCACGGCGGCTGCATGCAGGGCAGCCTGGACCTGAGGCTTGCAGCTGCACTCGGCCGGGAGGCTCTCTGCGGACGGCGCAGCCCCCTCAAGGCCACAGAGCGACAGGAGGCAGAGCCCGGCCCAGGGAGGGCCCGGCATTGCCCAGGTTCCTGGCAGCAAGGTGGCTGCTGGGCGGCCTGCCTCTCTCCTTCGTTCACTCAACAGCAGATATCTGGGCCGCTCTGCAGGCCAGAGCTGCACACCGCTGTGGGAGGCGGCAGGCTCCTGAGCCGCTCCAGGCCTCAGTGTCCTCACCCCGGAGTCAGGACGACAAGAGTCCCTCCCCGGGCTGGGAGGCTGCGTGAAAACTGCCTGCACCAGGGCGGTCCGTGTGGGCTGTGCTCACGGTCTCCATCCAAGTTTGCTCTGACCCCAGCCCCCGGGGGTTGACAGGGCTGGGACTTGAGTCTCGGGCGGGACGGGGCGGGGCGGGGCGGCACTCCTGTACCTCAGAGCTGGCCACTGTGCCCCTGCACCTGCTTTCTTCTCCTGCCAGACCCCAGGTTCCCTCTGGAGGGTGGGGCGAGGGTGGGGCGAGCCGGGAGCCGCAGCAGGGTCTCCAGTTGGCCCGGAAACTAGCGGCTCCCAGTTCTGGGGGACCCAAGCCTGAAGCTCCTCCTGCCCTGCCCTCTACATTTTAGGGCTCGAGGACTTTGCAGTGCTTTTCGGCACACAAGCAATTCATATTTTCCGCAGAGAGAGCGCACATCTGTCTTCTGAGCAGTGGGGACTGACACCTCGAGTCCCAGCCTCAGGACCTGAGAACGCGATTGTGTTGGCGGCCGGGGCCTTTGCTGAGGTAACGCGTTAAAATGAGGCCACTAGGGGGGCCTTGGTCCCACGTTGTGTCCTCCTCAGGGGAGGGCAGGACACAGACAGAAGGACGGCCCTGGGGACACAGGGAGGAGAGGCCAGCTGTGAGCCAAGGTCAGGGGAGGCCTCAGGGAAGACCCCACGGGACACCCTGGCCTCTGTGGCCCTCCGCTGCCAGGAGAGATGGTGTCAGCCCTGTGGACACCCCGGCCGGCACTTGGCTACACAGCCTTAACAGAACAACAGAACACACAACACAAACAAATTAAGAAAATGCCTGTCCCTGGGGCCTGCCCTCCCGAGGCCTCTGCAGCCTGCAGCCTGCAGTCTTCAGGGAGCCAGGCGCTGCCCAGGGCCTGGACACAGCGAGGCCAGGACTGGAAAGGCTGTGCCATCCCAGAGCTATGGGCAGAGAGTGACGCCCAGAGCAGAAGCAGGCGATCCCGACGGGCGCCCGGAGGACCTTAGGGTGAGGGCTGACAGCTGAGCAAGATGGCCCTGAGGAGAGGGCGGCAGAGGACCCTGGGGGGCGGCTGTGTAGACAGAATTTCACAGACAGCTCCAGAGCGAGCTCCCCAGTGTGAGTCCACAGATGCCCGCCCCCCGGCCTTGGTCCCAGACCAGACAGGAAACTGAGGCCCAGGCTGTGTACAGGCGAGAGCGCCAGCCCACAGGAGCCAGCAAAACAGCGGTGCAGACACAGGTCCCTCGCTCCTGGCACGATGCCCCCCCCCAGACTCAAGTGGGGCACAGGATGACGGGCACGATGCCAGGCCATGTACAGCACCCACCATGCCGGAGCCCCAGGGAGGAACGCACAGATGAGCCTTACAATTGCCCAGGACAAGTCCACAGGGGGAGCGTGTGACATGGCATAATAATGCCATCGGCGGGGTGGGGAAATCCACGGCTGAGAAGCAGGGCGGAGGGCAGGGCCCCAAGCCGCTCGGCCAGCAGTTCCAGGCAGTCGCCGCGAGCTCACTGGTGTTCCCCTTGTGGTGGTTCCAGGTCCCCGTGAGCTCCTCGATGGCTCTGGTATGGAGTCAGAGGACGTCACCCCAGGCAGAGCCTGCCACACTCTCACACCCCTGCCTCGAGCTCCGAGCCCAGGACGACATGTGGCGCCCTGCCTCCCACAACACCTCCTGGCACCGCCCCCTGGCTCCCTGCAGAAGCAGCTCCTGGGCCCCGGGGCGGGGCGCGGGTCTCCTTTCCTGACCTCTCAGGAGCTGGATGGTGCGCTGGGCAGGTGAGAAGTGTTAGGGCTCTGCTACGCACGTTGCAAATGTCCAAGCTGAACTGGTGGCGGTTTAGAAACAGCTTGTGTGTCTGCGTTGCTAACCCCAGAGAACAGCTTGAAGAAGCAGTTGTGCAAATAAAGTTTCTGCCTGTGCATGGGTGTGCGCACACGTGTCCAGGTGGGACAGACTGGGAGGAGGTGGAGGGGGTGCCCTAGAGGGACAGAAGAAGCCTCACCTGGAACCCGTCCCAGCGGCCCCGTCCTCCTAGCAGCTGGGACTCCGGTCCTGACTCGCA